AAAAGCTAGCGGGGTGCAGGAGCGGCAGGCTAGGAGCGACAGGAGCGACAGGCTGCTGTGAAAAACGAGAACAACTAGGAGCGCAAGGTGAAACCAGGCGAGTAACTGCTGGAGCACGGAGCGAACTAAGCTAGGAGCGCCAGGTGAAACCAGTCGAGTAACTGCTGGAGCACGGAGCGAACTAAGCTAGGAGCGCCAGGTGAAACTAGGCGAGGAACGGCTGGAGCACGGAGCAAACTGAGCTAGAAGCGCCAGGTGAAACTAGGCGAGGAACGGCCGGAGCACGGAGCAAACTGAGCTACGAGCGAGGAGCGAGAACGGCTGGAGCGAGAACGGCTGGAGCTAGAAGCGGCGAGCTAGGGCTGGCTGGAGGTAGGAACGGCCGGGGCTAGAGACCGTAAGTGCGGCTGTCGGCTGCCGCTAGTAGAGCCACTGGCAGTGGAAAGTACGTGCGACAGTAGGGGCTGCAGTACTGACGGCTGCGGGATGTAGGCAACTGTGCAGGTCGTCCGACAAGCAGGAACGCGGGCGACAGTCGCAGGCCCCCACTGTGAACCCCTTTTTTTTTTTTTTTTTTTTTTTTTAGGGTTTAATTTATTTATTTATTTTCTGGCACTAAAGCACCCCGGGGCGCGCTGCCTGCAGGGTGTGCTGCCTGCGGGGCGCGCTACCCGCGGGGCGCGCCTCCTGCGGGGCGCGCTACCCGCGGGGCGCGCTACCCGCGTGGCGCGCTGCCTGCGGGGCTGGGGTGACGAGCCAGGGAGGGCGCCTGGGCGACGGGCTAGGACGGGCGCCTGGGCGACGGGCTAGGACGGGCGCCTGGGCGACGGGCTAGGGCGCAGGCCTGGGCGACGGGCTAGGACGGGCGCCTGGGCGACGGGCTAGGGCGCAGGCCTGGGCGACGGGCTAGGGCGGGCGCCTGGACGACGGGCTAGGGCGGGCGCCTGGGCGACGGGCTGGGGCGGGCGCCTGGGCGACGGGCTGGGGCGGGCGCCTGGGCGACGGGCTAGGGCGGGCGCCTGGGCGACGGGCTAGGGCGGGCGCCTGGGCGACGGGCTAGGGCGGGCGCCTGGGCGACGGGCTAGGGCGGGCGCCTGGGCGACGGGCTAGGGCGGGCGCCTGGGCGACGGGCTAGGGCGGGCGCCTGGGCGACGGGCTAGGGCGGGCGCCTGGGCGACGGGCTAGGGCGGGCGCCTGGGCGACGGGCTAGGGCGTGGGCCTGGGCGACGGGCTAGGGGCGCAGGCTAGGGGCGCGGAGGGCGCTAACGCGCGGAGGAGGAGGGCGCTAAGGCGCGGAGATGGCGCGGAGGGCGCGGTGGCTAAGGCGCGGAGGGCGCGGAGGGCGCGGAGGGTGCTAGGGCGCAAGGGCGCGGAGGGCGCGGAGGGCGCGGAGTGTGCTAGGGCGCAAGGGCGCGGAGGGCGCTAGGGCGCGAGCTAGGCTAGGCTAGGCGAGAGGATCGACACCTACTCATGATACCATCTCAAAGTTAGCGAACAACGGAATGATTGGAATAGAAACGAATGGGGTACAAATGAGCAACCCTAGAAGCTGTACCCCCTAGAGTGCAACTCACTATAGCCTATCATATCAATGTTCAACATTTGACAGATAGATGGTATCAAGCTTGTCGGGGGTCACAGCAGCAGCTTAGACTAATCATACATATGCCCACTCGGATATTGAGAAAGCTTGCTTTCTGTTCTTGCAAAGGCAACGGGCTTCATTACAATTGGGGTTCGGGGCTATCTACAACGTGGATGTATGGGCTGAGTTGGTAGTAGCGGGAGGGTGTGTCCGTCATTTTGGTTAAATAGGTACTCTTTTTTTTTTTTTTTTTTTTTTTTTTCACACACGAATTCCGTCTTTAACTCCCCCAACACCTAAAGCCCATTCAAGTTCTTAACGAGACGCAACTTGTGGTAGCATGCTAGTCGCAACTCCCGTGCTTTTATTTCCATCTCGGGTGCGATCTAAGAGAGTGGGATGAGCATGATGGAAACCAATCCCTTTCTCATTGCCCTTATTTGGAGAGAACATTGAATGCGATGTAGGAGTGTGTGTGAACAACCGTAGTCAAGTCAGATTCAAAATCCATCTTGAGTTGCACTCTACCAACCATTTGTAACCAGGTCACTCCGAACAATTGCTTCCCTGGAAATTGATGGGGCACCAACCAACCTTTGTTTGTCAAAAAATGTTTGAGCCCCCTTTTTTTTTTTTTTTTTTTTTTTTTTTTGAAATCTTATCATGTACGGTTACATCAATAGCCAAGGATGATCCATACTAACACACACATTGTTCGAAATTCAGCCCATCTTACGGCAAGCCCAACATGGGGACCCTCGGTCCCCTTCCCCCCCTGGGGGACGGCTCTCAGGCCACACGGGGATCCTCGGTCCCCTTCCCCCCCTGGGGGGCGGCTCTCAGGCCACACGGGGACCCTCGGTCCCCTTCCCCCCCTAGGGGACGGCTCTCAGGCCACACGGGGACCCTCGGTCCCCTTCCCCCCCTGGGGGACGGCTCTCAGGCCACACGGGGACCCTCGGTCCCCTTCCCCCCCCTGAGGGACGGCTCTCAGGCCACACGGGGACCCTCGGTCCCCTTTTCCCCCCTGGGGGACGGCTCTCAGGCCACACGGGGACCCTCGGTCCCCTTCCCCCCCTAGGGGACGGCTCTCAGGCCACACGGGGACCCTCGGTCCCCTTCCCCCCCTGGGGGACGGCTCTCAGGCCACACGGGGACCCTCGGTCCCCTTCCCCCCTTGGGGGACGGCTCTCAGGCCACACGGGGACCCTCGGTCCCCTTCCCCCCCTGGGGGACGGCTCTCAGGCCACACGGGGACCCTCGGTCCCCTTCCCCCCCTGGGGGACGGCTCTCAGGCCACACGGGGACCCTCGGTCCCCTTCCCCCCCTGGGGGAAGGCTCTCAGGCCACACGGGGACCCTCGGTCCCCTTCCCCCCCTGGGGGACGGCTCTCAGGCCACACGGGGAGACCCTCTGTCCGCTCTTTTTATTGGGAGACGTCCTTGGGTGCGCGTGCAGTTTGATCCTGTAGTCCATGTAATTTCCCCGCGCGACTAGTAGAGCCTTTTATAAAAGTCTTTCCACCACTGTGGTGTTGGGCCTGATTTTCTGCCACCAAGGGATAAGAGGAGCTTATAGATTAATAGAAAATAAACGAAGAGGACATAACGAAAATAAAACTGAAAGAAAATGACTTGCAGCACTTAGGCAACAAATGACGCCCAGTCAAACGCCTAAGGCGCTGCAGTGGCCATTTCGTCCATGGCGCGCTAGTGGCGATTTCGCCACTGGCGCACGTGGCAATTTCGCCACATGCGCGCGTGTGGCGATTTCGTCCCTGGCGCGCGCCACTTGCGCCAGTGGCGATTTCGTCCCAATCGCCTGCCACTGGCGCCAGTGGCGATTTCGTCCCTAGCGCGAGCCACTGGCGCCAGTGGCAATTTCGTCACTAGTGCGTGCCACTGGCGATTTCGTCTTTGGCGCGTCTGTTGGCGTTTCGTCCGGCGCACTTCGCTCTCAGTTGAGCGCCCGCTAAGTACAGTCGCACGCGTGATAGTGTTGCCCTTCATGAAAATCGATCGCTTGTAGGTGAGTCGTAGTAAGTAGTTCTAGTGACAGAGGAAACTTTCGAGGTGGTTGGACGAGAATGAGTGGAACTGCAAAGTTCCGAAATGAAGTCGTGGGTGGAGGCCGAATGGCCTCCAACCCTCGTTATGTACTCGGCGAATTGTAATTCGGCGAATTGTAATTCGCCGTTGCTTTGCTTCGTGACAGTCAGCTGCGCTTTCAAAATACGCATTTTTAGAAAGTGTTACACACTTTCGAAAAAATTCATATCTGTAATGCTGCCTGCAGCTCACATTGAAGTATCTCAAGACACCTTAGTGCATTCAAAACGAATGGATGTTATGCGGTTTAGCAGATGCTACAGAGCCGATACAAAGCCACAAGTCACAGCTACACGCATGCTCAACCTCTTGACCAGCATTATCCTCTTATCAAAGATACCACCACCACCGCCATCCCTCCACAAGAAACAGTCCCAATCTACCAGTAAAAAGAAGAGGCCCTGTAAAAAGCCATGGTCACCAACTCCCTCCACACCCCTTTCGTCATCAACCTACGGTACCTACCCACCCATTGTCGCTTTATTGCCCCTTCCGGCTCTTTCCACCTTCTACAAGTCATGAAGACGACTGTAGTGGAGCTTAGTTGGCCACTGGACGATGTCTACTGACCGAAACAGCTCAACAAGTAACCCGTGCCAGACAAAACCCTCCAGACCCCCGTCGATCATCATAACACCTTCCTTCCCACCCACTGTAGCTGCAGCCACAAGTCAGAAATATGGCTCCCCTGTCATCCAGACGACATCTAGTCACCGAATCAGCTCAACAGGTTGCCCGACGCCCGTGCTAGACGGACCCTCCACACCACCTTCCATAACACCTTCCCACCCACTGTAGCTGCAGCCAGAAGTCAGAAATATGGCTCCCCTGTCATCCAGACGACATCTAGTCACCGAATCAGCTCAACAGGTTGCCCGACGCCCGTGCTAGACGGAACCTTCCACACCACCTTCCTCATCATAACACCTTCCCACCCACTGTAGCTGCAGCCACAAGTCAGAAATATGGCTCCCCTGTCATCCAGACGACATCTGGTCACCGAATCAGCTCAACATGTTGCCCGTGCTAGACGGAACCTTCCACACCACCTTCCTCGTCAATAACCTTCTTTCCAAAGTAGCACTGTTTTACAAGTCACGGATATGCCTTGGTTGGCGTCTGAACGACGTCTAGTGACCGGACGAGCTACAACAGGTCCCCTTCCCTGTGCCAAGCCCACCACGCCTCCCTTCCAACTGCACATAATGAATACACCCTGGAAGGTGTCTGAACCGTGTCTAACGATCGGAAGAGCTCCAGCAGATTTCCTGTGCCGAACAATCCAAACCCCCACTTTCCTCTTAAAATCACGGGTACACCTTGGAAGGTGTCTGAACCGTGTCTAACGATCGGAAGAGCTCCAGCAGGTTTCCTGTGCCGAACCCACCACACCCCCCACGAGGAAACTGCTGCATGGGAACGGCTTGAAGGCCCTTCTTCATTCCCACCCTCTGAAGAATCTCAATGAAGACCGTGGGCCTGTGGGACGGGAGGGGGGTGGGGAAGGGAGGGATAAGAGACACGTGTCAGAAACTGGAATAATAAGTGGTAAAAGTGCTGTAGGGAAGTTGAGGGAACAGATTCCCAACCTCTGACGAAATCTCAATGAACAGCGTGCGCCTGTGGGACGGGAAAGAGGAGGGGATGGAGGGAGGAGGGAGGAGGGAGGGAGGAAACATGTCAGGGAATGGGATGATGGGTGGGGAACTGCTGCACAGGAACGGCTTGAAGGCCCTTCTTCACTCCCCCCTCTGAAGAATCTCAATGAAGACCGTGGGCCTGAGGGCAGGTAAAGGTGAAGGAGAGAAAGGACGGAAGAGACATGTCGAGGAATGGGATGATCGAAGGGTGGGAACGGCCTTGGGGCCTTCTTCCTCACTCCCACCACCCCTTGTAGAATCGCAATGAACACGGTGGGCCTGTGGGAGGGAGGGGAAGAGGGCAGGGAGGGAGGAAACATGGCAATGACTAGGAACGGCCTTGACACCCTTCTCTTCACTCCCACCACCCCTTGACGAATCTGAACGAACACGGTGGGCCTGCCTGCGGCGAGGGAAAGGAGGAATGGTGGGTGGGGAGAGGGGGAAAGGACTGGGATGATTGGATCTCTCACCTGTCCCCGATAGGAGCAGTGAAGATCTGCAGCAGCACTCCCCCAGCATCCACGAGAATCCCCAACTCCTCATACTCCCCCATCTAACCTTGTAACAGATAGAAAAGTGATAGAAAAACGCACACATTTCCCCTCTGACCTGTCCCCAATGGAAGCAGCGAGAATTTGAAGCAGCACTCCCCCAGCATCCGCATCCACGAGGATTCCCAACTCCTCCTACCCCCCCATCTCCTAACCTTCTAACAGATGGAAAAGTGTGAAAAAAAGGCACACATTTCCCCTCTGACCTGTCCCGAATCGGAGCAGTGAGGATTTGAAGCAGCACTCCCCCCAGCATCCACATCCACCAGAACCCCCAACTCCTCATACTCCTCCATCTCCTCCTCGCCTTTCAGCAGATAGAAAGGCTAGCCACGCACAAGACCACTGACAAACTCTCCCAAGCGCTTCCAACCCAACCACTCTCACCTGTCCCCGATTGGAGCAGTGAAGATCTGAAGCAGCACTCCCCCAGCATCCACATCCACGAGAATCCCCAACTCCTCATACTCCCCCATCTCCTCCTCACCTTTCAACACATGGAAAGGTTTATCATAAACACACACACACTTCCACTCTCACCTGTCCCCAATGGGAGCAGTGAATATCTGAAGCAGCACTCCCCCAGCATCCACATCCACCAGAATCCCCAACTCCTCATACTCCTCCATCTCCTCCTCAGTGATTAAACTCCCCACCCTCGACGACAGCTCCCTATAGTACTTAACCGACGGCCTGGGCAGGAACGCAAACCCCCCCATTTCGCTCCCAGCCTTCATCTCTTTAACAGCCTTAACAATGTCTGTGCACATTAGTGCGATGTGCTGCACTCCTGCCCCGTTATAGTGCTCCAGGAAGGTTTCGACCTGCGTCTTGTAAGGGAGGCCAGGCGAGGGTTCCATTATAGGGAGGATGACTGTCTCCCAGTCATTAGCGAGTACAGTACTGTTCACACCGAGGCCAGTGGGGTCCACGTCAGCACCACCGGATTTCTTCTTAGGAGTAACAGCAACGTTACCAGCACCAGCACTAGCAGCACCAGCACCACCAGAAATACCAGCAGCACCAGCAGCAGCACCGAAACCAGCTGTTCCTTCTCCCACTCCTCTCCCTGCCCCTGCTCCCTTTCCTGCTTCCCCTCCTGCGTTTCCTGAAGCACACGAATCTGTAAACTCGTGAAACCCTGAGAATCCCTTGACATACCGAACCACATCCGCCAGGTTCGGCACGTTCCCAACCACATGGTCGACCCTGAAAATCCCGTAGCTCATCACTTGGTTCGACGCCGCCTCAAAGGCGGGAAGAAACGGTCCTGAGAACGATTTCGGGTTCACAAACCGTAGGACCGTGTCGCCGTATAGAGTCACCTCCGCTATAGTCACACTGCCTCCCTGACCGTTTGGTTTGATGTCTGTGACAGTAACGGGAGGGCAAATGGAAATGGCTCCGTTATTTACACTCGTTTGGTACGCAGCTTCAACATCCTCCACTCTCACTCCGATTGCCCTGACTCCCAATCCATGCAGCGCGGAAAATTCACGGGCAGCCCGTGGTGAAAATCCTGGGAAAGGAACTCGGGAATTTCTGGAGCGTCCAGTCTCCCCAACTACTTCCCCCAGAGGTTCTGTACGCGTTATAGCTGCTGCTTCGGAATACGGCGCCGTGAACACCAGCGCCAGGTCCTCCGCTTTCAGCACGAAACTGCAGAACGTGTGGTTACCCGTCGTCTGGTCCGACTTCGCGACGAGCGGCAGCCCCAGTCCCCACGAAAACCGTCCGTACGTGTTAGTAGCATCTCCGCACCAGAACTCGATATGGTGAAACCGGTCCACCTTAAACTTATCCGTCCGCGGGTTATTCCGTAAAAAGCTCCCGAATCCGACAAGTCCTGTGGGAGTCATAGCGGCGGATTCGGCGCTGCGAGGCTCGTCACCGTCCTCGTCATCGTCTTCGTCATATTCCTCGTCGGAAGACGCAGGACCATATGTGTCCAGGCTCACGCATCCGGCCTGCTCCAGGCTCTGGAAAAAGGCGTCTTGGATTCGCTGCGCTATGTTTCCCAGCATGGCGGCCCGTGCCGTCGTAGGCGATTTAAGAGACGGACTGTGTAAACTTCGACGGTCTACGTAAACGTTGACTATCTGCGTAGCGGTGAACGGTGTGCGAAGCTGTTTTCGGTCAGCGTGGCCTTCACCAGTCTGCGAAGACTTTATCGGAATCTGTGGCCTGAAACGAGATTGTACCGCTTGCCAAAAGCAGTAAAGCAAACAAGATTTGCGGAAGGAGGTTGCGCTACGACGTTAGGCACTCAGGTTATGCTGACACACGAGGTGGCAGGACTAGTTCGATGTGCGTATCCAGTGCCATATAAATCCTGCCGCTTCCTCCTTATGGACTGTAAAGAATGTGATTTAAGGTATGCGGCATAAATTGAACCGTCCTACTTTGCCAGACAGAACGAGATATCTAGTGCAAAAATGACTTCCACCATTTCCTCCATGGATTGTGAAGAATCCGTACTACTTCACTGACCTAGCACATGCATATTCTAAGAGCATCTAAATACACTATCTGCCTCAAGCAGAATACTGTACAGCCAGAGTCAGACTAACAAGTTAACAATCAACAGCAACAGTCCTGCTAGAGAACTTTCCAGCAAGAAGGTGCTTCAATAATCCATCAACCTGAGCAGCCTCTTCCCGACTGCCTTTGCGCCAGTCCTCATTTGAGGCGGCAGCATGCAGGGCAACGTTGGCATCATCCAACTGCTGCATCAGAATCCCCACCTTCCCAGTCAGCTCATGAACACTTCCCAATAGACCCGACAGCGTGGACCTCTCCTCTTCCAACAAATCAGGCTTCTTGGATTTCTTGGAACCGCTGCTACTCTTCCTTCTCCCGGTAGGGGAGTTATACTGGCTCATGACGCTCTTGGAGCAAGAGCGATACTTGGAAGATGAAAGCTCAGTCATTAGCAGGCCAGCAGCAGTCCTGAGGTGAGACTTGGCCTTCATCAAGCGTGCATTCTGCTGTGGCACTTCAAGGCTATAGCTCAGCTTCTCGAGCGAAGCCACTACGTCAATGCTTGTGTATGCAAACCCTGAGAGACTGATCGATTCTTGGACCTGCAAAATATGTAAAAATTAGCATAAGGTCAGCTCATCAGACTCAGACATTTATGTGAGCAGAAATGGAGAAAATCAGTACACACCTCAGCTTGTGCAAGACACAGTAGAGCTTCAGCATGTTCAAATGGCACACCAGCCACGGCAAGCCCTTCAACTGCAGCATTCAAACTACTGAGCCGATCTTGACCCGTCTGGGTGTCTGCAATCAGCCTGAACACAATAAAAAAGAGAACCATTCAGATTCGAACAAGAAGGCCAACTACGCCGATACACAACACCAAAACTAAGATCTGCATACCTGAGGCAGCGAGCCACTTCACCCTTCATTCCATGCTTCCGAGCAGACATGTATGCACTGAAAATCAGCCGCCTACCCTCCTGCACCTTCCCATGTGCGAGAGCTGTGGCACCAGCCAGCCGCTCCATGGAGACCTTGGCAAGGAGCGAACTTGACTTGTGCGTGCTAGACCTCTGCTTGACATCTGACTGATGCTCTTGAATGAAGACCGAAGTTCCAGCCCGCTCCAGAAGATTGATTGAAGCAGGTGGACTGGAAGAAAGCTCAGGGGAGCCCTCTCTGGAGCTGGAGAGATAGGAAGGACTAGTAAGTTCGAAGTATGTAACATTCGACATACATATTTGCACACAAATTTATGCAGACAAATGCCATGTACTACCTGCCACGAATATTACTTACGTGAAGACCGGATTTTCCAAAGTGCTCTCAGGAGAAAACAGCTGGTTGTCCTCCTCCAAACCTGAACTGCCAACCTGAAAGATACAAGGCACGGAAAATGAAAAACGAGGGTCAGATCGAAGTCCACGGCGAAGAGAGAATTGAGTGCTGAGATGAACGAAAGAAGAACCACACTCTTACGTACCTTAACAAACAGCGAAACACCGTCAGGTTTACTGGACGAAGGCGGGCACTCCTCTGCATCCAAGACAGTGATGCATGTTGTCTCGAGGCTTTCTATCGAAGCAAGAGCGAAATCTTTCTTTGGCGGGCTGCAGCTGGCCAGAGGAGGGCTGGAAGACGGCGAGTGAGCTCCGAGACCTGATCGACGACCATGAGACTTGGGAACAACGATAGACCACCCATCGTCGTCTAACGACTCGTCTTTCTTTTCCACTACTGCAGTCTCGGCATCCTCCTTAACGACGTCCTGAACATTTGCGCGTTCTCCTGTCGATTCACAAAGCTTGTCCTGGCTGCTTGATGCGGGACAGCTAGCAGGTGGTTTTTCCGCCTCCCGAGCCGGCACCTTCTCCGAAACATTCTCCTTGGAAGATTTCTTGGAGGACTTGCTGCTCTTGGAACCCTTTCCATGCTTCCCCTTCCCGGCGTGTTCATTCCGCTGCCTCCTGGAATAAATCTTGCGTTGGTTGCGCCTCCCAACAGTGTGGGAGATGAGGCTCGGAATCGGATCGTACACGTCAGCAGCCCACTTGACGCGAAGCCCCGAGGGACGCGGCGACGATCCCTTGAGGGCTGGCTTGAGCTGAGCAACCTGAACAGCAAAACAAGCGTAAAATACAGAGAAAGTTTAAGTTGGGGAAAACACAGCAAGGAGGGGAGAGAGACAAGCTAGGCAAGTTGTGACCCCAACGACGACCGATAAATACCTTCTCTGCGCAGACTTTGTCGCAACCAGCGGCGATGTCATTGGCAGCACCATGTGGTGCATCAGCAGAGATTTGCGTGCTAGCGGAAGCAGTGGTCGCACCATTTTCATCCTCAGAGGTGTCAGTAGTCGCACTGACAAGGCAGTTCTCTACCTCTACGTTATCCACCCCACTTGACAACTCCGTTGTCCGACTGACATGTTCGCTGAAGAGAAAGAGAAGAGAGAGAAAATTAAAACAAGACGTTAGCATGAGTTGGCAAGTGCAACCAATATTCGAATAATAGAACAATTGACAACTTCTCACTCCTCAAGTCAACCTACCTGTTACTGGTTGTCTCCTCAGCTCCTTCTTTGACCGATCCACTAGGGTTTCCAATCCACCCATCTTCAAGCTGCCTAGAGATATCAACCGAACCGCTGCTAATGGCACCGGAAGTACTGGATGATTCCTGAACGGCTTCTACGGTGGTCCCAAATATGTCCAGTGCTAATGCGAAGCTCACACCACCACCAGCAGCATATTTGGATCCCTCCTGTTGCACACTCTTCCCAGGCGCAGGAGCAGGCAGCGGAGGGCTCGAGCAGCGAGCATATTCTTTAGTACCCCTCGGAATGGGGTTGTTGTTCGGAGAATCCAAAATCATTTGCCAGCAAAAATCACGGTTGCGGAAGGGAGAAGATAGCATGAAAGTAGGGGAGGTAATGGCGTTGAGGACCCGTGCTAGTCAATTACTTTCCTCCATTTTGTAATTAGTTTCAGGTGGAAACAAGCACTGAAGGTTGGAAAACAGAAGTTCAAATGCTAGGGTTTGCATTTGTAGCTCCCCTTCCTTCAGGCAGCTTCTCCATCCCTGAGATTGTCGCCTTGGATGGATTGTGGTTGGATTGGGTTCGAGTCGAGTCCAGACGGATGAAATCAAGACTGCACTCATGAGACCGCAGTTTTGCGTTCTGAAACGGTTGGTTTTAGATTTACAACGTTGGGAAACGGTTGTAGGGTTTTGAGGCATTCTGACTCGCCAAGATAGGAAGAGAACTCAGCGGAGAACTAGCGACCTGCGGACCAGCAGAAAAGCGTGGGATCAAGGGAGAATTCTGTACGAAGGGGGGGCGCCGGGGAGTTGCGCACCGAGTCTGATCGGCTTTGCGGTCATTCTAGAATGGTGGGCGGAGGAAGGTGTCGTCTTGCGCGCTTCTTCAGCGCTGCGGTCGCCGTGCGCAGTCGCTCCGAGTCTCCGACCATGAGACGAGTTCAGCGGACCACATGATGTGAAAGTGCCAGCCCATGTGATGGCATTGTTGGCGGGTGCATTGTATTGCGTGGAACGTAGACAACGCAAAGAGGTGACGACATCGAGGCGGTCATCGAACGGTTAAACTCGATAGACGGATAGTGGACGGCTAGATCCTTGTTTCTTGCGGGTTGTCGTGATCCTGAAGCAGCTTCGGAAAATTGGGAGATGTCACGGACAAATGGCAGACCCCTGCGCGCCACGTCACTTCTGTCTTGCTTTTGCCATCAGGGCCTGAACAGAGCAGCATGATTGGTCAATTCTCAAGCTGTCACAAGCCACGTGGCCACCTAGTCACCTGTTCTCCTTATTGCCCTCGCGAAGACCTTATTGAGCACCTTCACAAATTAAGCAAAAACAAATGTATAATAAGCAGACACTCTTATCCATAAGGAAATATAACTACTGGAATTCATCATATCCATTGTAAATAACCAAGGTATTCAGCAAACTGGCTGCAAGTGGCCACACAAAAAGACTCGCTTCGCTTTATGCACAACCGGCAACCACGCAGCTCCCACCTCACCTCATCCTCATCCTCCCTCACCACATTTTCATCGTCACCACCAATGCATTCCCTGGTACCCCGTCTTCTCCCCGAACCCCCTCCTCTAATGATCGCCCTATATTCCAAGTCAACTTCAGCCAAAAGCCCTGTTCCAAACACCAGTGCAGGCAAGATGGAACAAAACACCAACAGACCTAGATCATCTGCTTGGTACTGAGGCTGGCAGCTGACCAGCTGCACCATGCGCCCATCTGACGGCCTCTGCACATGCAGCTGCGCAGAGAGCTCCTGCGCATAAGCAGACGGCCGGTCCGGGCCTTGCATTGCCATGTGAGACATCTTGTGATAGTCGGATAAGAAAGTGGGGGAAGCAGGGGGAATGGAGGGGTTAGCAGTGGTTGCCAAGAGACTGGAGGAAGAGGACGAGGAGGCGGAAGAGGTGGCAACTGAATCTGGAAGGGTGAGTGGAGTGAAAGAGGTGGAAGAGGAGGAAGAGGAGGAAGAGGAGGAAGAGGGGGAAAAGGAGGAAGTGGTAGAATCAGGGTGTGGCCGCCACAAGGGGCTGTCCTCATGCGCAGCGTTCAGGTTCTTGACAACAAAATCGAAATCTCCCAAGTCAGCAGTCTCTGACAGGATCAGATCTTTCTGCTGGAGAGCCATGGACAGCCGTGATTGGCCGTGGTGGGAGACGTCAAGGAAGAAGGTGAGGGAGGGGAAGGAGAGGGGGGAGATTGCGGGGCGAGGAGGGCCACAGCTGAGCCGGCGATAAGCGAACGTGCGGAACGAATGTGCTTCAGACGAGTGTTCATCCAATGACAGTTGTTTTAACGAGTTTCCTTGTAATGAGGAATTTGATTGAATGTTGATGGAGGGGTGAAAATGCTCCTCGGAATGGTGTTCAAGAGCGGTGGAATCTCTTGAAGGATAGACAGTGCAGGTTTCTGCACTGGTGACGGTTTGGGAGGTAGATACAGAGATAGAGGAGTGGGAAGAGATGGTTCTGCTGCTGCAAGGAATAATCCTTAGCTGCTGCTGCTGCTGCTGCTCTTGTTGCGGCTTCTGCAGCAGCTGCTGCTGCTGTTGTGGTAACTGCGTCTGCTGATGCTGATACGCCTTCGGTCGGGGTTTACTCGGCGGATCAATCAGCGCAAGTGACTGTCCGCGGCGTGACTGCAACGAGGGCCACATCTCCCGCGCGAGCGCCGCCCAGAGGCTCTCGTCGCGCGACACGGCGCGCCACTGCGCGCTCACACACGCCGCCCGCGCGAGCTCGCGCGCGGAAAGGCAGCGGAGAACGCGGTACAGCGTGCTGTCGTCCAGGGGGAAGGCGGAGGGGGAGGCGGAGGGGGAAGCGGAGGGAGGAGAAGAGGGGGGAGCGGAGGGGGAAACGGAGGGAGGAGAAGAGGGGGGAGCGGAGGGGGAAACGGAGGGGAACAGAGAGGTCCGGCTAATGCAAGGATCCTCGATCTGCGCGCCAGCCATACGACCCTCCATACGCATTCGCCGGATCGAAGAGAGCTTCCGCCGAGTCGGGAGTGAATCGGCGCAAAAGAGAGAAGAGGCGGATGGAGAGGAGTGTAACGATCGCCTCCCCTGCCGCGTTACTATTGGGAATACTGATAAAAACGGGGAACGGATAACTGGGCGTTGGAACGGTATAGCAGTATTATGGAGGACCAGACTGGGTGTGCAGTCGTGGTGAGGGATAAAGAACACTCCTGGTGCAATTAGCCGCGACTTCTAAGACGAGTCTATAGTAACCTCGGACAAACAGCCGCTACGTCATCACTCGGGATTCGCAAGCAGCCCTACGTCGTACGTCGGGATTCGCTCTGACGGGAAAATCAAGCTGGAGAGAGGGTGGGATGGCCGGAAGTAGCGGAGTGACAGATGGGGGCGTGGAAGAAATCGCGGCATGACTCGACTGGAGTGCTTCGCAATCAGAAATTGAATAAATAAGCACTCCGTATTGGAACTCATCGAAAAACAAAAGCATAAGAAAACCTTGTCACTATACTGATAGTTGCATAGCCAGTCCACTCTCCGTGTTGAAACCCACATCTAAGAAAAAATGACATGAGGAAAACATGCTGACTATAATGACAATCACTTTGCAAACATTGTTGAGCTAAAAGGGGGCGGATCACAGCCTGAATATGCACTAACGTTTTGTACCACTCTTGTTTCTTACAGCCTCTTTTACAAATTCCCCATAGCCACAGCCTCGGCAAGAGCTAGCCTCTTGAGCAGCGCAGCTCAGCTTCATCCTCCCTCCCTCCCCTGCTGCTGCAGATTCACCACCAGAGACCCTGCAATGACCACAACCCTGCCTTTCCATCTCATCCTCATTACAAGCCAACTCGTTACAAGTTACCTCGTCACAAATTCCCAGTAGCCGCAGCTTCTGCAAGGGCCAATCTCTTGAGCAACGGTTCAGCCTCATCGTCCCTCCCCTGCTGCTGCAGATTCACCACCAGAGACCCAGCAATCACCAGCGCTGCATCCCCCATGGGCCCCACTGCTCCTTCCATCCTCGCTAAAGCCTTCCTCAGTAACAGCTCCGCTGCCTCTGCCCTCCCTGTTGCCATGAGTATGAGTGCCAGGTTGCGCTGGGCTTGCGCTGGGGGGAAGGGGAGGGGGGAGTTGGGGAGAAAAACAAGCACGGGGAGATGGGGGAGAGACAGGAGGAGAGACAGTGCAGTGCATGGGGGATGGGAGGATGGGTTGGGGAGAACGGGGCCAGCTCTGCTGCCTCTGCCTGCCCTGCAGCCATGAGGATGAGCACCAGGCTGCGCTGGGGGGATACAGGGGCGAGAGCAGGTGGGTGCAAAAAAGGGAAGAGGTGCGTGGGTAGGTGGATGCGGGACGGCCAAGCTCCGCTGCCTCTGCCCGGCCTGTGGCGATGAGTATGAGCGCCAAATTGCGCTGGGCTGGGCTTGCGCTGGGGGATACAGGAGGGGAGACGGGGGAGCGGGCGGATGCAAAAACCGGGAGAGGGGGGGTTGGGTGTGTGGAAAGAGGGCCTAGCTCTGCTGCCTGTGCCCGGCCTGTGGCCATGAGTATGAGCGCCAGGTTGCGCTGGGCTTGTGCTGGGGGGAGGGGAGGGTGAGACAAGGGGGGGGAGAAAGGATGGAAGTGGGGGAACGGTAGGGATAGGAACCAAAGCAGGTGCTTACCTAGCATCACCACTGTATCCCCGCGCACTCCCGCCTTCTGAACTGTATCATCAGGTGCTCCCTTGCCAGCCCCTCGGCCTCCTCAAACCGCTCCATCTGGGCCAGGCACAGCTCTAGGCGCTCTACCCTCTATCTCTCTACCACAGAGCCAGTCACTCCCCTTTTTGAGGTTCCAGGCCTCAGCGATCATCACGCGCTCCCTCGCCAGCCCCTCAGCCTCCTCAAACCGCTCCATCTGCGCCACACATAGCTCTAGGCGCTCTACCCTCTATCCCAGTCAACGCTAGTCAACCAAAGTTAAGCAAGAGTCTTGCCTAGCATCTCCACCGTGTCTCCTCTCAATCTTGATTTCTCCACAACCCCCTCAGCAATCATCAGGTGCTCCCTCGCCAGCGCCTCAGCCTCCTCGAATCGCTCCATCTGAGCCAGGCAGGCACAGCTGTAGACGCAGAACCCGACATTAACTCAACTCAAGTCAACCAAAGTCAAATAAAGTCAAACGAAAAAAGGGTTTTTACCTAGCATCTCCACTGTATCCCCGCGCAGCCCAGCCTTCTCCACGGCCCCCTCAGCAATCATCAGGTGCTCCCGCGCCAGCACCTCAGCCTCCTCGAATCGCTCCATCTGAGCCAGGCACAGCTCTGGGCGCTCTACCCTCCATCTGGGCCACAAACCAGACTCTTACCTAGCATTTCAATCGTGTCTCCCTGCAATCCTGCCTTTTCCACAGATGTCTCTGCAATCATCAGATGCTCCCGCGCTAGCACCTCAGCCTCCTCGAATCGCTCCATCTGAGCCAGGCACAGCTCTGGGCGCTCTACCCTCCATCTGGGCCACAAACCAGACTCTTACCTAGCATTTCAATCGTGTCTCCCTGCAATCCCGCCTTTTCCACAGATGTCTCTGCAATCATCAGATGCTCCCGCGCCAGCACCTCAGCCTCCTCGAATCGCTCCATCTGAGCCAGGCACAGCTCTGGGCGCTCTACCCTCCATCTGGGCCACAAACCAGACTCTTACCTAGCATTTCAATCGTGTCTCCCTGCAATCCCGCCTTTTCCACAGATGTCTCTGCAATCATCAGATGCTCCCGCGCCAGCACCTCAGCCTCCTCGAATCGCTCCATCTGAGCCAGGCACAGCGCCAGGCGCTCGATCGGCACGGCCAACCGCGCGTCGCCAGCTGGCACCGCTGACCTGGCGATCTGCAGCGCGCGGCGCAGGAGCCGCTCCGCGCCCTCTGATTGGCCGATGGTCAGGCGGGACTGCGCGAGTTGGATGAGGGGGGGGACGAGGGCCGGGGAGAGAGGGCCGACGGCTAGCTCCTTGGCTGAGAGGAGCTTCTCTCTTAAGGCGCACGCGTCTTCATCCCTGGTGGAGAGATGAAGAGAGGAGAGGAGAGAGGAGAAGTGGGGAGAGAGTGGAGAAGTGAGTTGAGCGGGATTGGGCGAGGTGGATGAGGGGGGGGACGAGGGCTGCGGAGAGAGGGCCGACGGCTAGCTCCTTTGCTGAGAGGAGCTTATCTCTTATCGCACACGCGTCCTCGTCCCTGTTGAAGGGATGAAGAGAAGAGAGAAGGGGACAGGAGACAGGAGAAGTAAGGCGTTAGTCAGTGGACGAGAGGGGGGACGAGGGCTGCGGAGAGAGGGCCGACGGCTAGCTCCTTGGCAAAAGAAGCTTCTCCCTTATGGTATGTGGAGGATAGGAGGGGAGGGGAAGGAGGATTGTGCATCTACACATACACACACCCCTCACGTGTACCACACTCACCTGTCCAGAATGTCATATAGCATGCTCAGTTCCATCCGTGCCTGCTGTCAACCGTATAACATACACACGTGTCCAATCCAGCATACATCACACTCACCTGTCCAGAATGTCATATAGCATCGACAGTTCGATCTGCGCCTGCTCGAAAGCCGGGAATGCCGGGTATATGCCTCTCATAGGGCATGCCGCGCGCACACACACACATGCACGCACGCACGCACGCACGCACGCACGCATGCACACGCACACACACCCCTTGCTTGTATTGCACTCACCTGTCCAGAATGTCATATAGCATGCTCAGTTCAATCTGTGCCTGCTCGAAAGCCGGGAACGCTGACGCTCCAAGCGCGTTCACCAGCGCACGGGGAGTCCCCGCCAGCTCATCGTCGCCCCACGCCAGCTCAGCGCCTGCTCCTGCCAGCTCAGCAGCGTCTCCAGCCTCGCCCTTCCTCCTCTGCTGCTCCACCGATTGTTCGAAGATCCGAAGGCCGCTCTCCAACACCCCCACTGCTAGATCAGGACGACCTGGGGAGATGGGGAATGGAAGATGGGGGATCAGGGAGGGGTTGGGGAAGGGGAGAAGGTGGAAAAACGTAAACATCTCAGTCCCGTCTTCATCTGCTGCTCCACCGATTGTTCGAAAATCCGAAGGCCGCTCTCCAACACCCCCACGGCAAGATCGGGACGACCTGGGGAGATGGGGGGATGGGAGACGGGGGACAGGGAGGGGAGGGGGAAGGGTAGAGCAGGTGGAGAAATGCGAAACACCACAGTCTCTTCCTCCTCTGCTGCTCCACCGCCTGTTCGAAAATCCGAAGGCCGCTCTCCAACACCCCCACGGCAAGATCAGGGCGGCTTGGGGAGATGGGGGGATGGGAGACGGGGGACGGGGAGGGGAGGGTGGAACGAGAGAGCAGGTGGAGAAATGCGAAACACCACAGTCCCTTCCTCCTCTGCTGCTCCACCGCCTGTTCGAATATCCCAAGGCCGCTCTCCAGCACTCCCACGGCAAGATCAGGGCGGCTTGGGGAGATGGGGGGATGGGAGACGGGGGACGGGCGGGGAGGGGAGGGTGGAACGAGAGAGCAGGTGGAGAAATGCGAAACACCACAGTTTCTTCCTCCTCTGCTGCTCCACCGCCTGTTCAAATATCCCAAGGTCGCTCTCCAGCACTCCCACTGCTAGGTCAGGACGACCTGGGGAAACGGGAGATGGGGGACCAGGGAGGGGTTGTGGTACTACCAACCAGGGAGGGGTTGTGGTACTACCAACCAGGGAGGGTTGGAACCAATGGAGAAATGCAAATGTCGTAGTCCCTTCCTCCCAGTCTTCTCCCTGCACCCGCCTTTCACCTCCCAGTCTTCTCCCTGCACCCGCCTTTCACCTCCCAGTCTTCGAAGACTGCTCTCCAACACTCCCACTGCTAGACTCGTTATTGTCTAGACTCCGTACAAAGCCCACCCACCTTGGATGTGCCTGTCTGACTTGAGCGAGAGTGAACTCCACTGTAGCTGCCTCCATTGACGTCAGTCCCCCTTTCTCTCTTGAGTCGTTATAAAGGTTCATTCTTACAATACTCGTTATAAGTTAGAATCACTCCAAGCCCACCTACCTACCTTGTGCCTGTCTGACTTGAGCGAGAGTGAACTCCACAATTGCTGCCTCCATTGACGTCAACCCCTCACCCTCGCTTGACTCGATGTGAACCTTGTGCCTGTCTGACTTGAGACAGAGTGAACTCCACTATAGCTGCCCCCATCGATGTCAGCCCTTCTCCTTCTCCCTCTCTTGAACATCCTTCTTTATACCACTTGTTATAAGCGGGACTCTTCATAAGCCCACCCACCCACCCACCCACCGTTTGCCTGTCTGACTTGAGCTAGGGTGGCGTGGCCCCAATCATTGGAGGCTGCAATGACTTGCCTTGAGCTTGGGCCCACCCAATCATTGCAGCCTCCATTGATGTCAGCCCCTCTCCCTCCCTGTTCTCAAGGATCTATGCTCATTTTGAGGCGCCTCATTGCAGCCTCCATTGATGTCCCTCCATTGATGTCCCTCCATTGATGTCAGCCCCTCTCCTTCTCCCTCTTCTCAACCAACCTTGCTTGCCTCGTTAGAAGATTACTTCAATGTACTCATTATAAGCGGGACTCATAACAATCACATTTGACTCGTTATTAGCCTACCCACTCACCGGCCCCGCCCCGCCCCGCCCTTCTTTTCCAACCAATCACGCTTAACTCGTTATAAGCCAGTTTCGCTGTACGCACTATAAACCCACCCGCTGACCCACCTTGCGCCTGCCTGACTTGAGCAAGAGTGAACTCCACTATTGCTGCTTCCATCGACCGTCAGCACCACTTCCTCCCACTCCTACACACCCTCTCCTCACTCGTTATAAGCAAGACCCGTTACAAGCCCACCCACCTTGTGCCTGCCTGACTTGAGCTAGAGTGAACTCCACAATCGCCGCCTCCATTGATGTCAGCCCCTCCTTCTCTATCAGAATATCCTTGGCGCTGTTGGTGTGCAGGGGGGCGTGTGAAGAAGGGAGAAGTGGGGGTGAAATAAGGAGGGAATGCAAGGCACTGTGGGTCAGCTCTTCCCGATCAGCACTGGGGGAATGCAAGACACAGTGCGTCTAAGGGACACAGCACTGCTTCCCTTCAGTGCGTCCAAGGGACACAGCACTGCTTCCCTTCAGTGCGTCCAAGGGACACAGCACTGCTTCCCTTCAGTGCGTCCAAGGGACACAGCACTGCTTCCCTTCAGTGCGTCCAAGGGACACAGCACTGCTTCCCTTCAGTGCGTCCAAGGGACACAGCACTTGAATAAACTCGTGATAAAACCCCAGCCAAGAGCATCACTCACCGGAGGATGCTGCCTTCCGCCTCTTCCACTCGCCCCCCCTCCATCTGAATCTGCGTCAGCCGCACCAGCATCGTCGCCACCCCTCGGGACCTCTCCCCCCTGGCAGCTTCATACAGCTCTGCCGCTCGCCTCTGCACCTCCTCCGCTTCCTCGTGCCTCTGTGCTTCCATTAGAGCATTGGCGAGGCTGCACAGGGTGGACGCCTGTAGGTAGTGCTCGCCACCTGCAACAGCACAGGGAGATATTGAGGGGAGTGATGGCATTCAACCTCATACAGCTTCTGCATCTCCTCCGCCTCCTCGTGCCTCTGCGCTTCCATTAGAGCATTGGCGAGGCTGCACAGGGTGGATGCTTGCAGGTAGTGCTCTCCTCCTGGCAGCATGGGAGAGTGAGGGGAGCGCAAAGAAAACATAGTGTGGGGGGAGTGCAACGACAGTCTATGCCGCTCGCCTCTGCACCTCCTCCGCCTCCTCATGCCTCTGCGCTTCCATTAACGCATTCGCGAGACTGCACAGGGTGGACGCCTGTAGGTAGTGCTCGCCACCTGCAACAGCACAGGGAGATATTGAGGGGAGTGATGGCATTCAACCTCATACAGCTTCTGCATCTCCTCTGCTTCCTTCCTCGTGCCTCTGTGCTTCCATTAATGCATTGGCGAGGCTACACAGGGTGGAGGCCTGCAGGTAGTGCGCGCCACCTGGCAGAGTGAAGGGTGGGGAAAGAGCGGAAGTGACAGTCAATTTCATTCACCTCGGCTGCTCGCCTCTGCACTGCACCGCCTCTGCCTCCTCGTGCCTACAGTGAACGACTGTAGGGAGGCAGAGGCGGTGCAGAGGCGGTGCAGAGGCGGTGCAGAGGCGGTGCAGAGACGGTGCAGATGCGGTGCAGAGGCGGTAGTCGTGTTTTGAGAGTCGACTCAAAACACGGTAGTGCTCCCCCTCTGGAAAAACAGGAAGGTGAGGGAGGTTAAAGATTCGGCTAGTGCGCACGCCCCTGCCAAATATAATGAGAGCTCTCAGAAGTGACACCACCCGCGCACGCATTACCTATCGGACCTGCCTGCCAGCCCTGCCATAACCACACCTGCCAGTTCCCTCTGCACGTTGACGGCCCGTCTGTACATCTTGATCGACTCATCCCACATCTCCATGCCATAATACATGTCCCCCGCGTTCTCCAGCAGATCATCCAGTAGCGGCTCGGAGGGGTGAGAGGCCACTAGGGCGAGCGCCTGGAGAGAAGGTAGGGAGAGGAGGCTGGAAGGATAAGCACATGCCTATACCATCCCACATGTCCATGTCGTGATACATGTCCCCCACGTTCTCTAGCAGGTCGTCTAGGAGAGGCTCTGAGGGATGAGAGGCCACTAGAGCGAGCGAGAGCCCGGAGAGAGAGGGGAGCGGAGGGGATGGGAGGAAGAGAGGAGTGGCATAAGGAGAAAGAAAAGCACATGTCCATGCCGTAATACATGTCGCCCGCGTTCTCTAGCAAGTCGTCTAGCAGAGGTTCGGAGGGGTGAGAGGCCACGAGTGCGAGAGTGTGGTGGGGGGGGAGGTAGTGGAGGCGAAGGAAAGAAAGGCACATCTGCATGCCGTAACACATGTCCTCAAGGGAAGATAGGGGCGGGGGGAGGGGGAGGGGGAGGGGGAGGGGGAGGGGGAGGGGGAGGGGGAGGGGGAGCGGGGAAGGGGAGGGGGAGCAGGGAAGGGGAGGGTGAGGGGGAGGGGGAGGGGGATGGGGAGGGGGAGATGAATGGAGGTAGAAAAGTACATGTCCATGCCGTAATACATGTCGCCCGTGTTCTCTAGCAGGTCGACTAGCAGAGGCTCGGAGGGGTGAGAGGCCAGTAGGGCGAGAGCCTGGGGAGAGAGGGGAGGAAGGGCGACCAGTGGCAGAAGGAGAAAGAAGAGTTACATGTCCATGCCATAATGCATGTCCCCGGCGTTCTCTAGCAGATCGTCTAGCAGAGGCTCGGAGGGGTGAGAGGCCACGAGAGCGAGAGCCTGGTGGGATAGAAGAGAAGAAGGGGGAGGGAGGGGATGGGAGGATGAGACGAATGGCATAAGGAGAAAGGACAAGCACTGAACACCTCACGCCTTACCCAATCCATCAATCCTCTCCCCCTAAAACGAGCCGTGTTTTGAGTCGACTAAAAAACGGGGATGGGAGGGACTCCCGTTGGCTCCCTGCCCCATCTCCAGCAGCAGCATCTGCAACCCACAGTAATCTCCCAACCTTCACCCCATGCCATGCGCATCCCTCCCCCTTGCAGCCTCATCACGTGTCACCTGGTCCATCAACTGTCTCCCGTTGGCTTCCTGCCCCATCTCCATCAGCAGCATCTGCAACCCACAGTAATCTCCCAACCTTCACCCCATGCCATGCGCATCCCTCCCCCCTACAGCCTCACCTAATCCATCAACTGCCTCCCCTTGCCCTCCTGCCCCATCCCCAGAAGCACCTGGTACCCGCACTGCACTAACCTCCCAACCTTCACCCCATGCCATGCGCATCCCTCCCCCTGACAGCCTCACCTGGTCCATCAGCTGTCTCCCCTGGCCCTCCTGCCCCATCCCCAGCAGCAGCGGCGACCTACACTGAACCTCCAGCCTCGAGCCACTGTGGATGCACCACACCACTCATTGCGACCCACAGTATTCCCACGTGTAGCGAGGGTGTTTTTGAGACAGCCTCGAGCCACTGTGGATGCACCACACCACTCATTGCGACCCACAGTATTCCCACGTGTAGCGAGGGTGTTTTTGAGACAGCCTCGAGCCACTGTGGATGCACCACACCACTCATTGCGACCCACAGTATTCCCACGTGTAGCGAGGGTGTTTTTGAGACAGCCTCGAGCCACTGTGGATGCACCACACCACTCATTGCGACCCACAGTATTCCCACGTGTAGCGAGGGTGTTTTTGAGACAGCCTCGAGCCACTGTGGATGCACCACACCACTCATTGCAACCCATAGTATTCCTTCTCCCTTACTTACACGGTCCATCAGCTGTCTCCCCTTGGCCTCCTTCCCCATCCTCAGCAGCAGCTGTGATGCGACCTACACTAAACCCTGGCGTACAAATCCTATCCCCTCACCTGTCACCTGTCACCCGTCACCTGGTCCATCAGCTGTCTCCCCTTGGCCTCCTCCCCCATCCACAGCATTCGCTGCACCCCTCACCCCTCATGTCTCATCCCTCGCACCTCACAACACACCCATCACACCTCATCCTTCATCCCTCACCTGATCCATCAGCTGTCTCCCCTTGGCCTCCTCCCCCATCCCCAGCAGCAGCTGTGACAGCGCCAGCAGCACTGCTGATTGTTCCACACCCGCCTCCCCTGCCACCACCTGCCAACAGGACGAGAAGAGGGCGGGGCAGGAGGGGAAGGTGGAAATAACTGTGCTTCATAAACAGTGGGAGACTATAAAATCACCTCACTGTGCTTCAGTTCAGTGAGGCGCCTAAAAAATCGTTTCAGAAACAGTAGAGACTTTGAACAGGAAGGAGCGCCATCAGCACTGCTGCCTGCTCCACACCCTTCTCTCCTGCTGTCCGGTCCTCCTCTCCTCATCTCCCTTTCCTCACCTGCCCCATCACTTCTGCCTCATTAGCCGCCACCAGAGCCATCGCCCCCTCCTCATCGCCCTCCTGAAACAGCTGCACGGCGTTGCTGAACATCTCCGCGAGTTCTCGTTTCAGTTCCGCCCGCTCTGCTGCTACCTCGTGCCACTGCGGCAGGTACGCTGGCTGGCTGGAGGAGGGGTTGGGTTGGGTAGGGGAAGAGGAGACGACAGGACAGGGTAAGGGGACAAGGGCTGGTGAGACTCCTGCTTCCCTCCCCCCTCCTGAAACAGCTGCACGGCGTTGCTGAACATCTCCGCAAGCTCCCTCTTGAGCTCTGCACGGTCTGCTGCAACCTCGCGCCACTGGGGCAGTTACGCTGGCTGGCTGGAGGGAGTTCGTCGGAGAAGGGGGGGGGCGACAGGACAGGGTAAGAGGACAGGGGCTGGTGAGACTCCTACTTCCCTCCCCCCTCCTGCAACAGCCGCACGGCGTTGCCGAGCATCTCCGCAGGCTCTCTCTTCAGCTCTGCCCGGTCGGCTGCTACCTCGTGCCACTGGGGCAGGTAGGCTGGCTGGCTGGAGAAGGGTTTGAAAGGGAGGGGGGGGTAGAGGCGAGGACAGAGTAAGCAGACAAGCGCGTTGCTGCCGAGCATCTCCGCAAGCTCTTTCTTCAGCTCCGCCCGGTCGGCTGCCACCTCGTGCCGCTGCGGCAGGTAGGCTGGCTGGCTGGAGAAGGGTTTGAAAGGGAGGGGGGGTAGAGGCGAGGACAGAGTAAGCAGACAAGCGCGTTGCTGCCGAGCATCTCCGCAAGCTCTTTCTTCAGCTCCGCCCGGTCGGCTGCCACCTCGTGCCGCTGCGGCAGGTAGGCTGGCTGGCTGGAGAAGGGTTTGAAAGGGAGGGGGGGGTAGAGGCGAGGACAGAGTAAGCAGACAAGCGCGTTGCTGCCGAGCATCTCCGCAAGCTCTTTCTTCAGCTCCGCCCGGTCGGCTGCCACCTCGTGCCGCTGCGGCAGGTAGGCTGGCTGGCTGGAGAAGGGTTTGAAAGGGAGGGGGGGGGGAAGGCGAGGACAGAGTAAGCAGACAAGCGCGTTGCTGCCGAGCATCTCCGCAAGCTCTTTCTTCAGCTCCGCCCGGTCGGCTGCCACCTCGTGCCGCTGCGGCAGGTAGGCTGGCTGGTTGGAGAAGGGTTTGAAAGGGAGGGGGGGGTAGAGGCGAGGACAGAGTAAGCAGACAAGCTCGTTGCTGCCGAGCATCTCCGCAAGCTCTTTCTTCAGCTCCGCCCGGTCGGCTGCCACCTCGTGCCGCTGCGGCAGGTAGGCTGGCTGGCTGGAGAAGGGTTTGAAAGGGAGGGGGGGGTAGAGGCGAGGACAGAGTAAGCAGACAAGCGCGTTGCTGCCGAGCATCTCCGCAAGCTCTTTCTTCAGCTCCGCCCGGTCGGCTGCCACCTCGTGCCGCTGCGGCAGGTAGGCTGGCTGGCTGGAGAAGGGTTTGAAAGGGAGGGGGGGGTAGAGGCGAGGACAGAGTAAGCAGACAAGCGCGTTGCTGCCGAGCATCTCCGCAAGCTCTTTCTTCAGCTCCGCCCGGTCGGCTGCCACCTCGTGCCGCTGCGGCAGGTAGGCTGGCTGGCTGGAGAAGGGTTTGAAAGGGAGGGGGGGGGTAGAGGCGAGGACAGAGTAAGCAGACAAGCGCGTTGCTGCCGAGCATCTCCGCAAGCTCTTTCTTCAGCTCCGCCCGGTCGGCTGCCACCTCGTGCCGCTGCGGCAGGTAGGCTGGCTGGCTGGAGAAGGGTTTGAAAGGGAGGGGGGGGGTAGAGGCGAGGACAGAGTAAGCAGACAAGCGCGTTGCTGCCGAGCATCTCCGCAAGCTCTTTCTTCAGCTCCGCCCGGTCGGCTGCCACCTCGTGCCGCTGCGGCAGGTAGGCTGGCTGGCTGGAGAAGGGTTTGAAAGGGAGGGGGGGGTAGAGGCGAGGACAGAGTAAGCAGACAAGCGCGTTGCTGCCGAGCATCTCCGCAAGCTCTTTCTTCAGCTCCGCCCGGTCGGCTGCCACCTCGTGCCGCTGCGGCAGGTAGGCCGGCTGGCTGGAGAAGGGTTTGAAAGGGAGGGGGGGGTAGAGGCGATGACAGAGTAAGCAGACAAGCGCGTTGCTGACGAGCATCTCCGAAAGCTCTTTCTTCAGCTCCGCCCGGTCGGCTGCCACCTCGTGCCGCTGCGGCAGGTAGGCCGGCTGGCAGGGAGGAAGGGAGAGGGAGAGGAGGGATGGAGAGAAGGGGGGGAGGGAAGGAAGGGAGGGTGGATGTTGGGATTGGGAGGGCAGCAGGAGAGTGAGGAGAGGAGGCGATAATGGTGAAAGTCCAACTCCAGTTAAGTCACTCCTAAACCCCACCAACTCTTAAACCCCACCAACTCCTAAACCCCACCAACTCACCGTTCAAAATCGACTCCCTCACCTCACCTTCCATCCAAACCCCACTCACTCATCATCATCGTCGTCGTCTTGCTCCCCTCCTCCCTCCTCCTCTCCCCTCCTCCGTTTAACCTCCTCCCCTGCCCTCCTGATCGCCTCCCCCTTAACTCCCCCCATCCCATCCCAGTCCGCCGCCCCTTCCTGCTCCAAAGCCTTCAACGTCTCTGCCGCAGCTTCGGCCGAGCCTGCCATCGCAGCCATGGCGTTCCGAGCCTCCACGGCTCTCTGCGCCGCCAGCTGGCGCGCTCCCATTGGAGCGCCGGGCTGCTGGGAAGCTTCCTGCAGCTCTTGGGCCTCTCTCAGCAATCCGAGAATGGCACCTGTCTGCTGCTCTATCTGCGCCACGTCAGCAGATATGGAACTCCTGAAATCGAGCCGGGATGTGGGTTAGAGAGCACGGGGATGAGGGAGAGGGGGAGGTTTAAGGAGGAAAGGGGTCACCACCTTGAAAACTCCCACCACTTACATAAGCACCACCACTACCACAGCTCGCAGAAGTCAATGAAGCTCTTTCTGCAGCCCGAGCTCTTACGTAAGTCCCACTAACCACTGAAGTAACTTCTGCCACTCACTTAAGCTTCAGTACTTCCTGCAGCCCAAGCTCCGGAGTGAGTGACGTGGCAGTGCGGTCCAGCTCAGCTAGCGTGGCCGCCACCGACCGCTGCAGCTCCGCCAGGTCATTCTCCATGTCAGCAATGGCCTCCCCTGCCAAGTCCACGTCAGCACCTTCATCATCCGCCTCTTCACTCCCCTCCCCCGATTTGCTGATGCCTTCTCTCGATACCCTAGACGATGCGGCTTCAATTTCCTTAACCAGCTCTTTCATTCCTCTTTCTAAACCCTCTAAACCCGCATTCTCTAAACCCCCTTCACCCGAAACCCCTCTTAAACCCTTGCGAGAATCCTCTGATTCGGCCGACTCAGCAGCAGCAGTTTCCAGAATCATCTGATCAAACTTGGCAGATAACGATTCCAGCGAGGCAACTGCTGACATGGCACTTTCGAACATCCTCTCCGCCTCCTGCACCTCCTTCAGATCCATGTTCAGCTCACGAGCCAGCGCCTCTAGGTCCATGTCAGCATCCCCTGCCACGTCAGCACTCCTAGCCACGTCAGCATCTCGGGAACGGGGACCCGTTTCTCCCTCTTTCCCGGCCTCCACGATTTCTGGATCCACTGCCTTGGGTTTCTCCGCTTCTTTCCTCCTGCAGATTCCACGAAAGTGAAGTTTAACAAGAATCTGGTCTCAACCAAAAATCATGAGCTACAAGACCTGTAACAAGAGAGGATCCGCTTGTGACTTATTGTGAATTTTTATACGAAAGTTGAGCCGGCCACGTACCCTTCGGTTGAGTCACCCGCGTCTGTGTCACCCGCGCCAGCAGCAGATCCGGTGCTTGCCGAAGGAACAAGGAACCTTCGCCGCCTACCATGGCTCGTGATTGACGCGATGCGGGTGACGGGCGGGACAGAGGTAGTAGCAGGCGCAATCGGCGCAACCGCAAGCCTTTGCGCGGCACTATCGTTCAATCTATCGATTCTTCGCGCTCCTGTCCGGTAAATGCGCGCCCAGTGACGGGCGGGCGGCGGGAGCGCGCTCTGGGTGGCTAAAACGCGGCCTGCGAGCGAAACGCGGCGCGCGCCTCCTGAAGAGTATCGCGCCGCGAGACAGCTCGATGGCGCTCGCGCTGAGCATGCTATGATAGAGGCGGTCGCCATCGCGCTGCGCTAACGTGCAGAGTAATGTACTGGGAACGCGCTTTACACGCCTGTCGGAGGAAATGAAAAGTTCGTTCGTGGATATCGCCAAAAGCCTCGCCCAAACAAATGCCCTCTATCGCTCGTGTGTAATTTCTTCCAACTCGAGAACCTCCTCGCCGATCTCAACCGGAAACTGTAAGGAGCAAAACACGACTTGAACTGGATAAGGCTGTAACTTGTACGAACAAGGTTACCTGATTCTGACCAGTAAGGGATTCCCGACGTGCTACCAATGATGAACTGGTTCTTCGCAACAAAATACACGGGCTTCGGGCCAGGGATGTGCGAACACAGAACATAAGTTGCTGCTTCGTCAGCCTGACCTGAAAGATCACATACACTGCGAGTTCAAGGCTCCATTTTGACTCGCTACTCTTGCCACTGATGCTGACGAGGCGACTGCCTATTGGCAGTGCTGCTCAAAATCTACCACTGGTGTGAGAAGGTCAAGCTGTCCTCATGCATCAATGTTTAGTTTTGTGAGGATGTGCTGTATTTACCGAAGGACGTATTTCGAACCTCAGGTCTCTGTACCGAGTTTCAGATGGTGTGCGTTTCTGAACGGTTAGACGCGATACACCGCTGTCCTCGTGCTTCTTCCAAAACCCTACGTGTTTTCAGCAATAGCCTGTTTAGGGCGATAGAAGTTTTTGAACTGCGTACGGTAGAAAAGGTTGGAAAGTGTTTTATTTACCAACTAGAAGATTTGGGTAGAGTTGAGAGGGTCATAACTGGTACTCTCTCTAGATCACTGCCAGATCAGTGTTTGTTCTGTTGGTGCTCTGTTGATAAGAGCGACTGCTCTGTACAACGGCCACAAGCTGAAGCCTTGCTTGATGAATGTTTGCTAGCATTGATCAACTAACCCTTAGTCGCTGGGGTCCAATCCTATCCTCGGATCTTCGCACGGTGTTACGCGGTAGTTTAGACCCGTTTTATCTTCTGTCTAAGAGCTTTCGTTCAGGCAAGGTAGAGAAGACATGGTAAATCAGGAGCAGCTCGACTCGCATATTGCACAGCTCCACGAATGTAAACCTCTCACCGAGGCAGAGGTGCGTCGTCCGCCTACTGCGTTCCGCGTACTTCGACCTATTTTATTTCAGCTTCATAAGTTCCCGATATTGAGTGAGCGTTGGCCAGCGTCATCCGATTTTTTGCTTTCGGACCGCACGATCTCAAATGTTGACACGTTTGAGTTCAGTTAATTAATCAGCTCAGTATTTACCGCCGTTCCGACGTTAATCTTCTATCTTCCTTGTGCACATTTGTATCGAGGTATCATCATAACACGGCAATGTCGGCTCGTTTTCCTGCATTAGGGTTTCAAACTTGGGCAGCATTGTCCGTTTGTAATCTCCTGCAGGTGAAGGCCCTCTGCGAGAAAGCCAGGGAGATTTTGGTGGAAGAGAGCAATGTACAAGTAAGCTTTCTATGTTAATCCCGGCAATGTCTAAGGTTTCCATCCTAGCAATGCTCCAGTGAGTCTTTCAGGCTGATCCTAGCGGTTTTCGCGTTCGCTTTTTCAAATTGATCGTCGCAATGTTCCAAAAGCTTTCTAGACCAGAAAAATGTGTGGCAGCAGGCACATGTTATTGACGTACCGAGCCCTCTGAAACTACGGACTGAAGTAGCCTTTTGTGCTGATCCCTCGGCATCTCTCGAAGCCTACGACGCCTGTCGCGACTACTCTAATGTCCTCTTTCCGCCAAATCGCTTGAGTGGAACAATGAAATTGGTTACATTGTGTCGCTGACAAAGTTAACTGCTTCATCGCACGCTGTGCACTCAGAGCTGGTTAAGTTAACCAACCAATCTCGACTTTGACTTGTTTCTGCCTTCACCTTTTTACCGCTCTTTATCTAGTCCATGGGGTCGCAACTTGTCGCTACCTATTGAAAACTGTCGCGAGTTTACTCAAGCAGCACATTGATGTTTCCCATGCCATCTAGTTCTTGCTTTTCAGTCGTACATTGATCAACTGTGGGTGTTGGCGGCGTAACATAGCTTTTTTTCCGACTGCTTCCATCTACTCATAATTTCCCGTCTCATTCCAGCCTGTCCGGTGCCCAGTGACCATATGTGGTGACATTCACGGGCAATTTCACGACCTCTCGGAGCTATTCCGCATTGGCGGAAAGGTATGCTGTTGCTGGGTTGAGTTTCCGAATAGCACTCACTCGGGTCTTGGGGTTCGAATGGCTTATTCTGTGCGATTTAAACAGCATACGTCGTGCGAGTTAGCTAGTGTAACATTCTTCATGTGGGAGTGTGTACAGAACCTAGTGTTTAGCTGATTTCTACGTCCGTCGTTTTCCCGGCATCCCATCTCTTCCCATGCCTTCTTCTGTCGCTCCGCGTGTCTGCAGTCACCAGACACCAACTACCTCTTCATGGGTGACTATGTCGATAGAGGCTACTACTCCGTCGAGACAGTTACTGTAAGCTTCCCCTCCTGAGGCCCTTCTTTTGCGTCAACATCTCAATTGCTAGCGAGTTTTGTTGTAAGCTGTGTACTTCCCTTGCCACCGAAGCCACATGTATCCGGGAGTTGTTTTCTCTTGTGTATTGTGTATTTAGCCAGTCTAAGCTTCTCGTTACTCCTGCTCTCGCTCACTCTCAGTCTTCTCTCTCTGCTGTGTCTCCACCTGCGTAATCCGCGCATCCCGCCCGCAGCTGCTGGTGTCGTTGAAGGTGCGCCACCCTGACCGCATCACCATTCTCCGAGGGAACCACGAGAGTCGCCAGGTGCGTGCTCTCTCACTTGCTGCGGCTTGAATCCAGGTGTTTTTTGGGCGACTCAAAACACACAAGTGCGCCACCCTGACCGCATCACCATTCTCCGAGGGAACCACGAGAGTCGCCAGGTGCGTGCTCTCTCACTTGCTGCGGCTTGAATCCAGGTGTGTTTTGGGCGACTCAAAACACACAAGTGCGCCACCCTGACCGCATCACCATTCTCCGAGGGAACCACGAGAGTCGCCAGGTGCGTGCTCTCTCACTTGCTGCGGCTTGAATCCAGGTGTGTTTCGGGCGACCCAAAACACACAAGTGCGCCACCCTGACCGCATCACCATTCTCCGAGGGAACCACGAGAGTCGCCAGGTGCGTGCTCTCTCTCTTGCTGCCGTCCGAACTCCATTTGCTTTTCTGCAGGCGCGCTCTGCGTGCAGTCATAGTCAGAAAGTTGCTCCCCCGCTCCCCACCTCCCCCACCACCACCCCCCCCCCCCCCCAGGTAGTCATGCATGTTAGGTCATGCTTCTCTCGCCCCTTCCCTCCCCCACTCCCTCCCTCGTTTCTTCCCTCTCTTCCTCATTTCTTTCCTCTCACCCTCGTTAATTCCCTCCCTCCCTCCCTCCCTCCCTCCCTCCCTCCCTCCCTCCCTCCCTCCCTCCCTCCCTCCCTCCCTCCCTCCCTCCCTCCCTCCCTCCCTCCCACCCTCACTCCCTTCGTCCCTCCCTCGCTCCTCCCTCCCTCCCTCCCTCCCTCCCTCCCTCCCTCCCTCCCTCCCTCCCTCCCTCCCACCCTCACTCCCTTCGTCCCTCCCTCGCTCCTCCTCCCTCCCTCCCTCCCTCCCTCCCTCCCTCCCTCCCTCCCTCCCTCCCTCTCTCCCACCCTCCCCTTCCTCCGTCTCTTCCTCCCTCTCTCCCTCCATCTCCCTCTCTCATTCCCTTCCCCTGTTTGCAGATCACGCAAGTCTACGGCTTCTATGACGAATGCCTTCGCAAGTGAGTGCTAGAATGAGCAGAGCTCGCTATGGTCCTTACTTCTCGCAAGGAGTGTGAAAACTCTGCGCAGCGAGAGAATAGTGAGGGGGGGGTGGCTTCACGTTGCACGTACTGAAGATAATCAGTCACAGATTCCATTGTATGTCACTCCAGCCTACGGTTTCTGTGATGAGTGGAATTTGTGTTCTCCCATTCAGATCCTCACAGTGGGACCTTGCACACTGTATTGTCGTTCTACTAACCATCAACACTGTTCTCACTCACCCCATGCCACGCCATGCCATGCCAAACCATGCCACGCCGTGCAGGTACGGCAGTGCGAGTGTGTGGAAGATGCTCACAGACCTCTTCGACTACTTCCCTGTCACCGCCGTGGTACGTAATCCGCTCCCTCTTTCCATCCCTCCCTCCCTTCCCCTTCTTCTCCCCTCCCCTCCCCTCCCCTCCCCTCCCCTCCCCTCCCCTCCCCTCCCCTCCCCTCCCCTCCCCTCCCCTCCCCTCCCCTCCCCTCCCCTCCCCTCCCCTCCCCCAACCTCCACCCCCTCCCTCACCCCCACCCTCACCCCCTTCCTCGCACAACGCTCTCACTGCTGTGGTGCTTTCTGTGTTATTCTCACCCTTCTCGTTACCTTCTGACCGTCCTGCCATGCGCCCCTTGCTCATCGTCCCTACATTCACTGCTGCTGGAGTTGCATATCTTTTGCTTGCATGGTCTTATAGCCCAACCAACCACAGACTCGATTGCTCTTCAGCCTCCTCCTCTGTCCGCTTCTCCCTCCTCAGATCCCTCCTCCCCTCAACCCTCTTCTGCTTCCTCTCCCCCAACTGCTCCGTCCTTCCTCCCCTCTCTGCCCCCCTCCTCCCCTCAGGTCGAGTCGGAGATCTTCTGCCTGCATGGGGGCCTCCCTTCATAGACTCCTCATCAGCCTCCTCTTCTCCCTCCTCTCCCCACCTCACCTCAGGTCGAGTCGGAGATTTTCTGTCTGCACGGGGGCTTGTCGCCCTCAATAGACTCGCTGGACCACGTCAGGCAGCTCGACCGCATTCAGGAGGTGCCTCACGAGGGGAGGGACCCATGTGCCACCTCACCTCCTCGCCTCCTCATCACCCTGCCCTGCTCTCCCTCCCTCCACTGCTCCTTCCTCTGCTCCCTCCCCTTCCCCCGTCCCTGCTCCCCTGCTCCCTCCCCCCACCCCCCCCATTCACCCCCGACCTCAGGTCGAATCAGAGATCTTCTGTCTGCACGGGGGCCTGTCCCCCTCAATAGACTCACTGGACCACGTGAGGCAGCTCGACCGCATTCAGGAGGTGCCTCACGAGGGGCCCATGTGCGACCTGCTCTGGTCCGACCCCGACGACCGCTGCGGCTGGGGCATCTCACCCCGTGGTGCTGGCTACACGTTCGGCCAGGTGAGCAGGCTGCTGGGTGCAGGTTCGGGCAGGCAGGTGAGTTGTGCGTTGCTGAAGCTGGTGGCGAGAACTGGTCGCAAGCCAGAACCGCAAGTGTCATGAATCCTTCTCGTCACTCTCCCATAACAATCCCCTCCGCCCACTCCCCTCCACCCACTCTGCTCCACCTACTACTCTCCACCTATTCCCCTGCACAGGACATATCAGAGCAGTTCAATCACAACAACGGGCTGAAGCTGGTGGCGAGAGCACATCAACTAGTGATGGAGGGATATAACTGGGCGCACGTGAGTCTCTCTCTTAGCAAGCCATTTAGAGTGACGCCTCTTTACTCCAAGTTTTAACCAATTGCTCATCAATGCATGATGGGGGGATGTAGTTGGGTGCACCGTGCGCATGAGTTCCTGCTGTGTCCTTCCAGAGTTCTTTCTTTGGTGGCTCTGCAAGAGTCTAAATCCCTAAATCCCCCTTCTACACGCCTTCTCTTCTCCCCTTCGCCGTTCCTCTCCTCCTCCGTCTTTCTGTGTCATTCTGAAGTGGAGAAAGACGCACGCGTCCTGCGTCTGGACGCAGCGTCCAGACGCAGAGACGCAGGACGCACCTCGTTTTTTTTCGGGCTGACCGGAAATTTTTTTTTTTGCCTCAGCGCGAAATTGACTTCAACGATTTCGACGCGACTTTCAATTTCGCGTCATGTCGACCCCCCCTAACCCATTTCGACCATCAAAAACACCCTAGAGGGTTTACCAAGACAATTCTCCTTCGTAAACCCTAAACCCTGGAAATGTAAAGGGGACGATTTTGCCTCAAATGTGTGCATCGTCGTCCCCCCCCCCCCCCCTTCCCATACCCTATAACATCATTTTCGGCTGCCCGGGGTTTTTTTTCGCCCTGCCCGGGCATGCGTCTTTTCATGCGTCCTAAAGGCCCTCCTCTAGCGTCCTGCGTCTAAGACGCTGCGTCTGGACGCAAGCGTCCTAGACGCAGGACGCGTCTTTCTCCACTTAGTTCTGAACCTCCTTCCTCACATACTTCCTGCCGCACATCCTCCCTGCCCTACATACTGTAATCCCCCGTATATAGGACCCCCCCCAGTTGTAGACCCCCGGGTCTATAATACGGACCCGGGTACTCTATTCGAGTACATCTGAGTTGTACCCCCCTAAATGACTCCTAACATTATAAGACCCCCCCACATCCTAGAGAAGTGCGGATTTTACAAAAATGCAATTGAAAATGGTCATATTCCATGCAGCCCGCACGAAGCTTGCATGGGGTGTGAAGGCCGAGGCCATCAAACGGTGCCCTGCGCTGTCGTGTGAACACCAAGTGGTGTTGGTGGTCAATGGGAGGAGGCTCCCCGATAAGGTTCGTGATGACGTGAGTTCGGCCCGTGTGGAGACCAATTCGAGTATTTTTGGGAGGAGCTAAAAACGGAGCAATACCAAATCACTTCTTTGAGCTCCAAAACTACATTCTTAAAATGTCAATATGAACAGACCCGGGTCTTCTAAAAATTATACCATTTAATTATACCCCCCAGCCTTTTTACGGGTGATTATCATAAGACCCTAGGGTCTTATATACGGGGGATTACGGTACTTCTTCCCTCACACACTCCTCCCTCACATGCTCCTGCCGCACACACTCCCTTCCACTCAATCCTCGCCCTCTTACATTTGCTTCCTTCTGCATTCTCTTCCTCACACCTTCCCTTCCCCAAATAATCCCTCCCTCACATGTGCCTTCACCAGGAGCAAAAAGTGGTCACTATTTTCAGTGCACCCAACTACTGCTATCGATGCGGTGAGCCTATGCATCTATCACTATAAGCGATACACACATTTTAGCGTGTGTGTTTTGGGCAAATGATGGTAAATACTTGTCATAAGCAAACACACATGAAAGGAAAGCCCTCAACAAACTGGAGGCAAGTTATATAAGCTGTGTGGCCCAGCTCACTCGATCAAGCGTTTGCCTCATCTCACTCAAATGTGCAACCCCGCTATAAGCTGTGGCTCATTAATTTCTTCCCCTCACTTGGTTGTTGTTGCTGCAATTAGTGTGTGGTCACCTGAGCATGCCCTACCCACACACATGTCTCCTGCCCAACCCGTCCATCCACACCCCACTGTACCACACTGTACTGCACTTTACCACAGGCAACATGGCGGCTATTCTGGAGGTGGATGATGCCATGGGGCACACCTTCATTCAGGTATGGCCTCTCCTGCACCACACCCCGACACCACACAGCACCGCACCACACTTTTCCGCACCTCCCCCCCCCCCCCCTTTTTTGTTTTTTTTTTTTTGTTTTTGTTTTTGTTTTTGTTTTTGTTTTGTTTTGTTTTGTTTTTTTGTTTTTGTTTTTTTGTTTTTGTTTTTGTTTTTTTTTTTTTTTTTTTTGTTTTTTTTTTTTTTTTATTGTGAACTTCCGCTGTATATTTGAGTGATGCTGTGTTTTACTCAACCTGCCTTGCACCTGTTGCCCTGCTTCTGCAGTTTGAACCGGCACCAAGAAGAGGAGAGCCTGATATCAGCAGGAGAACACCCGACTACTTCCTTTAAACAAACCAAATCAGCCTCGTATCAAAGTTAAATTGATTGTTTGGTTTGCAACAATACCGGTACAGCAGCCACCAGACACCAGACTGGTTATCGTATTAGTTTAGATGGATACAGTCCCGTTGCCTACGCCTGCTATTACCATATTGTAAGGGCTCCAACCATCAGCAGGTCGTATTGTTCCTGTGGTTGTATCACTTGTTCTGGGCTAGCTATGGTTCGCTATCAACCCAGTTCTAATATTCACAACAAGCAAGGCTTAGGGCGTGTTCCTACGCTCTTATCAGGCAAACCTCTTGTCAGCCTTGCCAGGTAAAAGTAGCGAGGGTTTTTGGGTTTAGGGAATTTTAAGGGGGAAAAGTAGCGAGCTTGATAAGAGGTTGCCCTGATAAGGGGCCATAGGAACACGCCCTTATGACTTGCACACCACATTTGATTACTACTGACCTGTAACCTACTTGGTACCACAATTTGGTGGGACATAGCAGCTGCTTTATTTATGATACCGTATCACCCCGGATATGAGCGTAGGCCTATTAAAAGCGCATGCGCTTATATCTGGAGCAATGTGCTTATGGCCGATCCTCATTTATGAGCGCACCCCCTGTAAAATTTATAATTTTTAAACACATTGGTGTTTTTCAAAATTGCGTATTGTGAAAGTGAAGCTGCCTGTACCGAATATTTGGCATCGTCGAAGCGCGCTAAACGCCCTTCTCCAACTACAAAAACCGTGGGTTGGAGCTCATTCCCTCCACCCACATTTCTCGTTTTCCAACGGCTCAATCAACATTTCCGTTCGAGTAGTTCTTTTTCCCCCTCCAAGCTGGCTAGAACTCGCACACTTCCCAGAGGCGAGTCACCCTCAACACTAGTGCACGACATTTTCAGCTACAATCGCTCTACTATGTGTCAGAATGTTATCATTGTTTAGTTTGCAGTGGGGTACTCTATAGTGAGTACAACCCACATTAGGGTTTGCTATATGTACTGCCCTGCTTAATAGTGAAGCTCTCCTTTTCTGCTGCTAAACTTCTTGCTTAACTTTCGACATGGTATCAGAGCAGGCCGACCCCCCTCGGTCGATCCTGTGGGTGGGCCCCACCCGATGCTTCCGCTGCTCTACTGCCTGTAACGCGCCCCGGGCGCATGCTGTTTCCTGCGTGCCGCGCGCTCCGAGCGCGCAGCGATTTTTTCTTCCCGCCGCGCGCTCGGGGCGCGCGGCGGTTTTCTGCCCCGTCGAACCGCGCGTCGCCCCCTGCCGACCGTGGCGTCGCCCCCCGTCGCCTGTCGCGGCCCGCGCGACCTGCGCCAGGCCCGCGCGCGGCCCGTACGGGCTGCGCCAGGCCCGCGCGCGACCCGTACGGGCTGCGCCAGGCCCGCGCGCGGCCCGTACAGCCCGCGCGCGGCCCGTACGAGCTGCGCCAGGCCCGCGCGCGGCCCCCTCTCCCGTCACCCGCCGTGGCGCCCTCGGGGGGGCCCGCGCCCTGCTCCTTCGTGGCGCCCAGGAGACCCCCCGCCGCCTCCCTTTCCCTCCGTGGACCGTCCCTGCTGCTCCCCGCGCTCCTGCCTGCGTTAGGGTTTGGGGGTGGCGGGCATGGGGGTGACCGGTGTGGGTAACCTGCACCTCCTCCTCCGTCTCCCACTGCTGCAGCTGCCGCTGAGGGGGGTGGGTGTGTGGGAGCCGAGGGTTTAGGGTTTAAGGGGGGTGTCGTGGGAGTGGAGCTAGGGGTGCAGCAGGGGGTGTGTGATAGGGGCGTGGGGCAGTTGGCGGAGGTTGAACGGAGGTCGCAATCGTGTCGCCAGCAGCACCAGTAGCCTGTGGGTCAGTTGCTCCAGTCAGGAGGCTACAATCTCCGCGGAGCCAGTTACTCCTGTAGTCCGGGCCTTTGCTTCGGTAGCCACTGAGCCAGCAGCTCCTGTGTGTCTGCAGCTTCAGCAGTCGCCTCCCATCTTCTCTCCCCCACAGTCTCTCCTCCTCCTCACTTGCCCTCTGTGATAGCCACTAGCTTTGCTTGCACTTATGAACCTGCTCTATGACTGCTTGCTCTGCTGATTATACCCCACTTTGACTATGGGGGTGTGTCAGAATGTTATCATTGTCTAGTCTGCAGTGGGGTACTCTATAGTGAGTACAACCCACATTAGGGTTTGCTATATGTACTGCCCTGCTTACTAGTGAAGCTCTCCTTTTCTGCTGCTAAACTTCTTGCTTAACTTTCGACACTATGGCGTCTACGCCGGCACTTAACCGCGGCAATGCGTCTACCCCGACTTCCGACTCCGACCGTAACGCCCGAGAATCGACGGGCGATCGTCGTAACAAGCGACGGGCAGAGGAAGGATCGCCCGCCCCAACTGCAGTGGACGTGCTGTTGGGCGGGCTCGAGGTCAACAAAAACTCGAGCGCTGCCCAACAGCAGCACCCTTCGGCCCCTGTGGCACCTGAGGCATGTGTGGCGCAAGTGGCGACAGTGGCGCCTGCAGCACCTGTGGCGCCACACGCGCCGGCGCCTGTGGCTGGACCGTCGCGTCAGCGCCAGAGGCGCCGAACTGCGACTTCCTCTGACGCGACGACCGCAGCGTTGACCACCGCGTTGACCCCGGACCAGGTCGCCGCACTTCTGTCCCTGTTACAGCAGCAGCCCGCCAGCGTTACAGCTACGGAAATTGCACAACCGGCGGCCTCTGCATCTGCTAAAAGGAAGACGCAAAACGAGAAAAAGGAGCGCTAGGAACAACGGCAAATCGGCACGACAAGGAAGCAGCGGCCAGCATCCCACCTGCGCCAGTGGCCGACAACGACACCGACGGCTCCGACGATGACGATAGTGAGGCTCCAGTCAATACCACAAAATTTAATTCAATGGAGCATCTTCCCCCCTCCCCTCTACTACTAACACCACTTGGTCGGCGGCAACGTTCAACGACGCGAATGTGCGGGCGAAAGCGGAGATTCTGGAGGACATGAGGGCTTACCTGAAACACGCAGAGTACAAGCTGCAGCACGGCGACTTAGCGGGCGGACTCGAAATGGCCGTCGCCGCCCTCGACGACATTTCCGCGCGCTTCGACATGTTTCAAGTCGAAGATGCCGCCGACGACCGGGTCGCCAAGCGCTACAATATGTACCTGCAGAAAAGCCTTCTCACTTCGCGGCCGTTCAAGCAAGCCGTGGCGGATGTGGCTGCCATGGACCGAGCGACGGGTGCTCACGCTCGCTCCCACCGTGGTGGAAACCACGGCGCCATGGCATTCGCCCCAAAGCGTGGCCCTCCACCCTCGGGCACCTTCCAAGGCTTTCGTGGTTCGTGTTTCCGCTGCGGCCAGCCATGCCACGTCGCCAATGCCTGCCCTCGGAATGGGCACGGGGGCCAAGGACCCGCACCGGTTGTGTAAGGGTCGGGCTATGGTGAAGCGCGTCAATAGACGCGATGCACGGTGCACTCTCGAGTGCTTAGACCGTGGGCAGCCTAGTAGGGCTTGCGGTGGCCATGGGCCAGCCCTAGGATAGGGTAGTAAGAGATGGCCGTATGCCTAGCTTTGGGGAAGAGGAAGAATGCCTCTCGGTCCCCCGTATGCCCCAATTGATGGGATGAGATGCATGCTTGTAGGCATGACAATGTATGACCTTGGGATATAAGGATTTTATTAAAGGCCCCCTTGGGTTGTGAAGGATTAAAAAAAAAAATATATATATATATATATATGCAAGGGCAAGAAGGCGGAGGAGAAGGGGAGAGGGCAAAAGAGAGTAAACGCGATGCACTCAAACTGTCACCACGCATGGCAAGGATGGGCAGCTCTGGTCCACTCAGGTGGAAGACCATAGGGGCAAGAAGGAGCAAAGGATCGCAATTAACAAAAAAAAAAAAAAAAAAAAAAAAAAAACCCCAAACACATGGAGAAGGGGGGCGTCGCAAGGTCGCCAAGCCCAAGAGAACGCACGTGCGGAAGGGCAGGAGCCCAAGGCAAGCGAAGTACGCAAATCCTCGAATAATAATGGCACACCAGGAGAGAGAGAGAGAGAGAGAGAGAGAGAGAGAGAGAGAGAGAGAGAGAGAGAGAGAGAGAGAGAGAGAGAGAGAGAGAGAGAGAGAGATGTCAGAATGTTATCTTATGCTCTAGCCTGTAGTGGGGTGCTCTATAGCGAGTACAACCCTTCTAGGGTTTGCTATTTGTATCCTCATTCTTGCTAGTGCAATCCTCTTCTTCCCTCTTCTTTCTTCTAAACTTTAACATGCTATCAGAGCAGGTCGATCCCCTTGGATCGATCCTGTGGGTGGGCTCACCACCTTGTTGCTTCCGCTGCAACTGCTACTGCTACTCTCTGTGCCGCACGCCTCATGGCGTGCGGCAGTTTTTCTTCCCGCCGTGCGCCCCGAGGCGCGCGGCGGTTTTCTGCCCGCCGTGCGCCCCGAGGCGCGCGGCGGTTTTCTGCCCGCCGTGCGCCCCGAGGCGCGCGGCGGTTTTCTGCCCGCCGTGCGCCCCGAGGCGCGCGACGGGTTTCTGCCCCGTCACTCGCCGCGTCGCCCCCGGGAGGCGCTGCGACGGGCGACGGGGACCCGTCGCGCCGCCCAGGGGAGCCGCGCGCGGCCCCTGCTGCCCCGTCGCGCGGCCCTGCTGCCCCGTCGCGCTGCCCAGGGGAGCCGCGCGCGGCCCCTGCTGCCCCGTCGCGCGGCCCTGCTGCCCCGTCGCGCTGCCCAGGGGAGCCGTGCGCGGCCCCTGCTGCCCCGTCCCGGACCTGCCCCGGCCCCGACCTGCCCCGGCCCCGACCTGCCCCGGCCCAACTCCCGTCGCCCGTCGCGGCGCCCTGGGGGGGGCCGCAAGCGGCCCCCCCCAGGGTCGCCTCGACAGGCGACGGGAGGGGAGTCTACAGGGGGCCGCGCGTTGCCCCCCCCCCCCCTACCTCCCTACCCTGTTTTTAGGGTTTGGGGGGTGGCGGTTGGGGGGTGGCGGTTGGGGGGTGGCGGGTGTGTGGCGTCGCCTGCTCCTCCTCCTCC